TATCAATAATCATACCCTAATTTAACTTTTAGAGAAACTATATTTTAATTTTTCATGTATTCAGTTTGTTGAAGCTGGTATCACTGTTACACTAAACAAACAGGACACAAAAGGTGAAAACACACACACACACGCACACACACACACACACACACACACACACACACACACACACACATACAACTACCCTATATTCTCTGCCTCTGCTATCTGTTTACCCTACTTTATGGAGAAAGTTCTTTCTCTACTCCTGGATAAGATCTTTTGCAATTTCCGTACTTTTCATGGTCACTCTCAGGTAGCAAAATGTCTGTTGGTCACATCTCATCAAAATAATGAATTTCATTTAGGTTTAAAGGTTTTCCCCTCCTCTCACTGTAGTCTGCTCCAGGCCAGGATAGCCTATAGAGAGAAATGTGTGTTCCTGGAAAGGGCTGACTGATTTTCTGTTTCTTCACTTGCTCTGTTCCTCCATATCCTCAGACATCGAAAGAACTAAAAGGCCTGTGATTATTTTACCAATATTAATTACTTAACTGAGATTGTTTTTGTGACAACAAATGGTTTTATTATATAAGAGTGAGCAGAAGAAAATAGGGCACTTGTCCAACATTTATTTATTCTAGGGGTAGGGAAAGAACACCCATAAAGGCTAGCTTGAACAGGTGGTAGAGAAAAAGAATGAAATTATTTTTTCGGTTGCACCCCATGAGTCCCAGTTGTTCAAAATAATGATGGGGAGGGGGCCTGTCTGCTTCCCTGGAATCCTTTAATAGTCTGTATACAACTCTACTGAGTTCACCTAAGCATGAAAACAGAGCTAGAATTTCCAAGGGTAAAACTGTTGCTGAGAAATAAGAATAAACTTTTGGATGAATTTTAAAGGTAAAGACTTTTAACAAAGTCTCAGTATTACTTGTTGATGATGATGATGACATTGTTTTTGGCAATAGTGGAAAAAAGTTGCAGTTGGTAGGGGGAGTGCTGTTTAACTGGGTAAAAAAGATTCTTCCTCAGTTATGACTGAAGATGTAAGATAATAGCTGCCATCCTCTTCATTTCAAAGTGAGGTGCGAAATCACTTAGGGAGAACATGCAGAGCATTTGGACAGTCTCTTGGTCTCCCATGCACCTTGAAGATTAAAAGAAAGAAAGAAAAGGTTGAAATTGAAGAGATGTGGCTGAGTATATTTAGAATTTGGAGGAGTCATTTGGAGAGAGTGTATATGCTGAGCCCCAACCTCTTTGTCCCCGTGGGGTTGGGGTGGGAGTTATGTTCTGTTCACTGTAAGTTCTAGTGTGGGGACTCCAGGGTATCAGGCAGGGAACTTAGTAAGTGTTCCCCTGAAGTTGGGGAACTTGGTGACTGGGGTCTGACTCATTCCTGAAGCAGCCTGTGGTATCATAGGGGACATATGACTTGGGAAGTGCCTGACTTCCTTCAATACAGGCCAGGGAATTGTGCTTTCTAGGGACCCTGTGTGGAACCCAAGAAAGAAACATCAGTTTGGGATTGTCTAAAATTAATTTTCCTCAGAGGGATTCTGCAGGGGTAAATCCTCAGAAGAAAGAGGTTGGTTACCCTCAAATGTGGAACTTGAGGGTAAGTCCTAAGTGACTCCCTCTTTCCCTGTACCAGTTACCCAGTTTATATGTCTATTGGGTTTTCTTAAATACAGAACATATGGGAAGAGCTCATCTTGGAAGTTTAGAAATTAGGACTTAAAAAAATTGTTATTCAGGAAAATGGAGAATAAGAATAATATTGTAATGTGATCTTCCTGTACATACATTATATATTTTTATATTGCCATTTGACTCATTAGATTTTATTATGCAAATTAAATGGAACTCTTAATGATTATCCTATAAATTTGTGTTGTATTAATTTAGCTTTCTCATGTATGAGCTGCCTATCTCCAGTTTGTGAGACATATATTACATATATATCATATATAATATATGTGTTATAAATTACCCACCTTTATCTCAAGTTATGAACATATCTAGACTAAAGTGATTTTTCACATTAAGATGGTATAGGATTAAGTTTGTCTACATGCAACAGAAGTCACAAATCAACAGTAGTTGTTCACATAAGGTTTTATATTTTTATGTAAAAGGTCTGGAGGATGGCAGGCTAGTACTGGTATGGAAGTTCCGTGAACTGTCATAGACCCACTCCTTCTAGCTTTCTGCTCTGTCATCCTTCGTGTAGGTTCAGAGGATGGAAACATCTCATAATGTCCACATTCCATGCATCAGGATGAAAAAATTAGAAGTAGGACTTTTCTAGAGGTTGTATGTCTTATTTCCAGCACCAGTCACTGGTAATATTCTAAGTATAAGGAAGACTAGAAAATGTGGTCTGAAACACTATGCACCCAGCTAAAATTTGGGGTTATATTACTGATGAAGATGGGATATCTGTTATTGGGGGATAGCATTTGCCTCTGATACAGGAAACACAGGGGTTAAGATTGAGCTCCAGAGTCAGAAGGCTTCCCTTTGATTCTTGGCTCCATCATTTTCTAGGTTGAGTCTTGAACATCCCATGTCTTTGTTTGCTCAGATGTAAAGTTGGAATAGTAGAGTTTCATGAACATTTAATGTGAAGACATTTAGAGTGATGTGTGGCCATGTGCTGCTCTTATGGCTGTCACCCCCAAGATATACTGCAACTCACTACTCACTAAGCTACGGCCAGTATAGCCTTGTTTGCATAGTATAGTTTGTTTACTACTGTAGCCCTAGAATTTAGTAGGATACCTGGGTCTTCATAGATATGGATGTATGTATGAATGAATGAGTCAGACTGCATGTTTTGAATTGTAAGACTTCTACTTTCTTGCTGGGTTGCCTGGGTATTTCTTAATTCCCATCAGCCTCAATTTTCTCTTCCTTAGAATGAAGATAAACCATGCCAAATATTCTTCCTTTCTCTCTTCAGATCCACTCTCCACCCTTCTCAACCCTGCTCTGTGCCAAGGAGGTAGATTTTCATGGATTGCATCAATCCCTTGCAGAGCTTCCATGACCTCTGGCTTCCTGCTGGGATTGGCCTTTGCAGGGCACCGACAGGTGATCAGAGGTGGGAGGAGAGTTAGCTTAGACATATATTTCTGTGGGGTCCTCCCTGCAAGGTCATGTTTTGGCAACAGCTGTGAGCTACAGACTGAATGTTGTATCCCCTCAAAATTCACATGTTACTGCTCTCACCAAATACTGCTGGCATTTTGATCTTGGAGACTTCCTAGTCTCCAGAACAGTGAGAGATAAATTTCTCTTCTTTATAAGCCACTCAGTCTATGGTATCTCTAATGGTAGCCCACATGGACTAAGATACTATGTGTCTATTCTGAAAGTCACAGTTATCAAGTGATCCTCTCTTTACAGCTGTAGATCTTTCTGAGTTCCAGTAACTGCCCTGCCCTATTGCCCCTGACTATGCTATCCTCAGGGTGCTTCAACATTGTTTGTTGATTTTCTGAATGTTGGCTCGATTTTTACAAATGATCCTTCATTAAACTTTCCTCAGTTCTCCATTTGATCTTTTCCTTCTGTGAGCATGACTGATATATGACACTCATAGAGTTGCTTTGAATATTTAATGAAATAGTGCATATAAAGTGCCTAATACAGTGTCTGATATAGAGTAATTACTCAATAATCTTAAGATCCACTAATATACTATTATGTGTGTTTTTTTTACTCCTCCTTATTTCATGTTTGGCAATATCTTTGTTTCATATAATTTTCAAAGGTGTTGATTTGATTTATTGAAATATTTTACTGCAAAAAATGATCAGAGCATATCTAAGGTTAATTTTTGGATCAATCTTATGCCTTGAAACAGAATGGTGCATAGTAATTTTTTTCCTCAAAAAGTATGTCTAATTTTTTGTTAAAATGTGTAATATGAAGAAGCCTCATACAGTGTTTCCTACAACTGACTTGTGAACCTAAGAGTTATGAGAAAGAGTAATTAAGCTAAGGTTCAGATATCAGAGCTGAGAAACCGGGCTGGGAGGCTGGTGGTTCAGGAGGCTGAGATCTTAGAAAACAGGGGTCAGATAAGCCAAGGATCTGTGCAGCCACAGAGTAGACCAGGGAAATAGAACTAGAGACCATAGTTAACCTTGCTTTGAGTACAGTAGGTTCCTAGTTATAACAGAGCCTTGTTATACTGACACAAAGAGGACCAAAGGCACATGACTACAGCTTTCATAATTCAAGTCTCCAGATTTCTGAACAGTGGGTTCTACTTGTTTAAAACAAAGTCTAGTGGAATTAATGTGATCTGGGGCTTCATTGGATGTCATGAGGCAGCTAGTCTTCATTTTTGGAGAAAGTAATGGATTCTCTTGGTGGTGGTGAGTTCTGATTCTCTGCTGTGGACTTCCACATTCATGATCTTCTAGAGTTTTATATGGACAAATGATTGAATCCTCAGCATCTATTTTTGTTCCTAAGATGATCTAGATGTTCCCATCATGCTTCTACAATCTTCTACAATTGGTTGGAGTCCATCTTACAGTTTGTAGGTTTTTCTCATAGTAGTGCTTGATAATGCATTGAGTTATTATCCTCTGTGATAGAGAATGGATGATGATGGTAAATGTGATGAAGATGATAGTGTCTGAAGTTCTATGTGATTTATGAAATAATTGCTACAAACATTTTCTTACTCAGGGAAACTGAAATATACTAAACATGAGAAGAAAATAGAAAGTGGATAGAGTTAGTATTTAGTTGAATGTAGCACTATCCATTTTATAGAAACAAACAATTTGATTTTTATTTTCCAACAACACATAGTAAGGAATTGTCATATTCACATATTTATAATGAAATAGTTGACTGCTGTGAAATATTATTTATCTTTTAATGTCAATGGAGTCAACAATTGAAATCAGAATGTACCCCAACAAAAATATATATTAGTAACTGACCATTTTTGGCAACATTTTTTTTCCTGTATGTGGCTTCTATCTTTCCAGATCTGGATATCAGAAGCACATGAAAAAATGGCTCAAGTTTATTTAAACAGAGAATTGGCTGAAATAAAGAGCAAGGCTTTATTGAATGAGGACACAATTACTTCTGGGATCATCGAAAGGTATACTTCATACTTGACTTACAGAATATGCACTTGCAGGAAAGGATTTCCTTGAGGAGTGAAGAGATATAGTAGACCCAGCTCCATATTACAGGAACACACCAAGCATGACAATGAATATATCTCAAGCTTCCATGGTTCCTGTTCATGCCATTCTATTTGGAATTCCCATTCTCTGAATTGTCAGCCAACTCATTCTGTGTCCTCTCTACATGTTCTTTTCTGTTCAGAGTTCTGACTGTCTCGGCTTGAACCTCAGTTCCACAATTACTTGTAAAATTTCTGTGGTGTTTAACCCTCTGTTTGTCTACCTGTAAATGGAAATTATTAAAGTATCTACTTTCATAGGATTGTTCTGAAGTTTGATAAAAAGTAGTATGAAATGTGCATAGAAATATTGCCAGACATGCAGCTAGAATTAGGTAAGCTGTAATTAAGCAGAATTAATTGCTTGTATATTCTTGTTTTCTGAGCTCTTTTTTATGTTCTACATAACAGCTGGACTTACATTCTAGTTATTTATGTGTAAGGGTGCTTCCCACAAGATAGTTCCCTGAGGACAGGAACTGTTTCTTAGTCCTATCTGTAGTCCTGCAACCTAGCATAGTGCCTTCTTCCCGTGGAAGTACATGACCTAGACTTTGACATACATTGTAGTTATTGGGAAGTGCAGTCAAAACAATTACAAAATGCTGGAATTTCTATTTACTTGCTGGGATAGTTTATTTTGCAAACTGCATAAAGGTTGCAAATATGAAAATCCTTTAAAAAATAATTATTATGAAAATTCAGCCCCAAATTATTTTTGTATGGCTTTGAAAGTTTATAA